ATTTGACGCTCTCCAGCACAGCCAGCCCCAGCTTAGTGCCCTCCAGAACATATCCCCCAGGATTCCTAACCACTGGCCATGCCAACTGGGGCTGATGGGAATTGGAAGGCCAAGACACCCTGGAGGGCACCGCCTTGCCAAAGTCTGCCCAAGCCACGGAAACAGCTGGGCTTCTCTCAGGTGATGCAAGTTTGTTTATTTATTTAACGCTTCTGTATGCCGTCACCACAGGCCTCGACATCTCGGGACGGCACACACCGTCAAAAACAATAAAACAATAACACATTCCATAAAAGATTATATAAAAACAAAAGATAAAAACAAAAAAGCGACTGTTAATAATAAAAAATTAGTTTTTAACATAGCAATTAAACAAAAAGTTTTTAACCTGACACCGAAAAGAATATAAAGTTGGCACCAGGCACACCTCTCCAGGGAGCGCATTCCATAATAATAATAAAATGGCCAAGCGGCCAAATTCTTTGGGGGATATTGTGAGGCTGAGGGGATTTACATGCGAGATCTCTTTGGGTGGTGGGGACAGGACGGGGACTCCGGTGACCCAGGTCCCAGTCCCCGCTCAGCCATGGAGCCAGCTGGGTGATCTGGGCCAGTCACAGAGGCTCAGCCCAGCCTACCTCACAGGATTGTTGTTGTGAGAGCAGGAGATGAATGCTATAAGCTGCTTTGAGTTTATAAGAAAAAAGTGGGATAGAAATCTAATAAATGAATTAGGTTTGTTTATTAGAACTATGATCATTCCCTAATCAACTGGCAAGCTGGCTGGAGCTCACAGACTTTAGAAGCCCCTTAAGAGCTCCCGCACACCATTCAATCCGCTCCCCAAAAAACAAAACACCGTCCATCATTCCCACTTTTCACTCCATGAAAATGGCGCCACCCAGCCTTACTGCCAGGCCCTCCTGCTTGATCACTCCAGGCATGCGGCTCCTGGGACCAGCCCCAATGACAGAGGCACGTGGCAGGAATCTGCCCCAGGCAAAGTTAAGGCGGAAAGGCAGAGACCCGGTCTGCGCACGAGGGCGGCAAATCGCGTGCTGATCATTGGTGGCTGGATGTACTCGGTGTCATTTTAAGCTCCTATCAGGTTAAGTGCGAACTGCTACATGGCATGAATCATGGGTTAAACTACCCACAGTTAACCTACAGTGTTCTGCTTCACGTGACATGATTGTCCACCATTGCAGCGGACAATCGTGCCGTGCCAAAAGAAGCGCCTTGTCCTTTTATTTTATTTTATTTTTTATTTATTTTTGGATTTATATCCTGCCTTTTTCCTACAAAGGGCTCAAGGCAGCTTACATCATTCTCCTCCTCCATCTTATCCCCACAACAACAACCCTGTGAGGTAGGCTGGGCTGAGAGTCTGGGACTGGCCCCAAGTCACCCCGTTGGCTCCATGGCTGAGCGGGGACCAGAACCCAGGTCGTCTGCGTCCCAGTCCCAGGCTCTTCACCACGACACCCCACTGGCTTTCCCAGGACACTCCGCTGCATTGCCCAGCAACAAACGGCCTGCCCTCTGCTTGATTTTTTTTCCCAAGGGGGGGCGATTTCCAGGGGATTGTTTTACTTTGCATGCTCCTGTCCCCAGTTTGGCTGCAGGGGCGGCCCTACCGAGAAATCAACCTCCGCGCTCATTTGCGGGATCCCACAGACAGCTCAGGACATGCTCTGCATGTGCCTTGATCTCCGACGCCAGGAACGAAGGGGGCATCTGAGAAAGGGGGCAGCATGGCAGATGTGCCTTCCACCCCGCTCGGGGTCCCATTCCAAGCAAGAGCTTCCCTTCTCCCCCGCAAGCCCTTCGGTTCGTTTCTGCAGCAAACCAGCTCTCTCCACAAACTGGGACACCCTTTGCCCCTAAACATCCACCTCCAGGAGCCAAGAGCGCAGCTTCTCTGAGCCCAGAAACACTTTCCAGAGACCTTGAAATGCAGCCAGGCCACGCACCGCATGCACATTTTTTTATTATTATTATTATTATTATAACATTTCTATGCCACCCCTTGCCGAAACCTCGGGGCAAGGGGCGGCATTTCCTTGTCGAGGCGTACACGCCACACGAGGCTGAGGTCAATTCCTCGTTCCCGATTCTCAACGAAACTGAAAACAGAGCAGAATCTCCAGCCATAACAAGGAGCTGAACTTTGGGTCACGTGCCACAAAGATGATCCTCAGGACTGTGGGACGGTTGTGTACAATGACTGCACGGAACAACACGACAAACCTGGCCCTCTCCAGATGTTTTGGACGGCAACTCCCACAGCCCCCTAACCATTTGTTTATTATTCATTTACACGTGTATTTATAGGCCCCCTATGACTCCAAAGGCCTTCCTAGCAGCTTACAATACATAAAACATATCAACAGAGTAAAACACATTAAAACCAATTAAAACACAACATCTAGAAAAGCAGTATCAAAGGGCCACAGCACTAAGGCTAAGTGTCAAACAATTTCCTAAAAATCTGCCGCAGCATTTGGGGCTGATGGGCATTCTAGTCCAACATCTGGAAGGAAACAAGTCACCTTTCTCCATTCTATACCTTAGTAGCTCTGAAAAAAAAGAAACCCACCAGACCTATTGCTCAGGTCTTAATAGTCATGCATTTATGTAATAGTTATGTATTTATATATCCCACTCATTTGCCAAGATAACGCTTTGGGCAGGTTACAAAATATATAACATAATAACAACAACATGCACAACAAAAACCATAATATTAAATTGGGCAACTATACTACAGCAATAAAATAAGAACAACAAAAACACGGAAAACCCCACAATCGCCTCAGCTCATTGAAAACAAAGGCATCATAGCACTAAGATACAATAAATACCATAAAATCTCTTAAGTTTACTTTAACTATTAAAATATTGGGTAAATAAAAAGAGGAGGCACCAAGCAAACCTCTTGGGGGAGCTGGTTCCAAAGTTGGGGTCCCACTACCAAAAAGGCCCTGCCCCTCATAGCACCCTCTTTATTTCCTTCAGGGAAGCCTCCCTGAGACGGACCCAGAGGACGCCCTTCAAGGCCAGGTGGGCGCACATGGGCAGAGCCCTGTTCGCTGCAGGTGATCCCCAAAGCACCTGGAAGGCCTCTCATGGGAGCAGCTTTGGCTTAGCACCGCTCTTCCCAACCCAGTGTCCTCCAGAATGTAATTCCAACCATTTCCTGTCAGCTCAGGGATGATGGGCCCTGCAGTCCCTCACCTGGGGAGCCACACAGGTCACCCACCCCTACGTAGCCCTCCCACTGTGCCGTCCCACAGCCACAGGAAAGCTGCAGCCTTCTCTAAAGCTGCTGACACCACGCAAGAGATTTCTAGGCTCATGAGCTGGGAGCTGCAGCCATCAGCTCCCTCCCTCAGCCGCGCAAGCGTGCCGGAGCCCCAGCACCGGGCCGTGGCTTGTTCTCCTCAGCCGCCGTGTTCCGGACAAGAAGTGGTGACTGAGACTGAAACCACACCAGTTCCTCAAAGTGCCAGCCGTGTGTGTTTAATCGCATCAAGCAGGACCCACACACCAAAGGCCACCCCGTGGGAAGCAGCAGAGGCCCTGCCTCTCTACCCAGGGGAGCCCAGAATGCGTAATGCCCTGGCTGGGGCAGCACCAGGCAGACGGGTGCCCTCCCGGGTTTGCCCACAGGCCATGACTTCTGGCCTCGCGAGCCAAGGCCAAGGCATCTGGAGGAGAGCGGCCTGCCTACCTCTGGGTTCCAGAGCCAGCTCGGGGCGGCAGAGGCCCGGGTCCAAACCCCACCAAGCCACATCCTTCACTCCTCCAGTCACTAGCCAACCCCCCAGGGCTGCCAGGCAGGCCAACGCCCCTCGTTCACATCTTTCAGGCATCCATCGAAAACAAGAGTGGGCCGCTTCCTGGCTTCCTAGCGGTTTCACCTGATCAGACCCCAAAAGGAGAGAACGCATCACGGTTCCTTCGAGCCCATCAAGTTATTCTAGCTCGGTAGACCAGATTCAAACAGAGCTGGCAAGGCCCTGGCAGGTTCAGGGGTGCTTTGGTATCCTACACATAAGCTCCCCTCCTTCCCAAAGCAGCCCCTGCACTCACACCTGTCATGGTATCCACGCACAGGTATCTCTGAGCGGCAGTTTCCCTTGATGCACTGCCCATGGGCCCAGAGTGGCCTAACCAGCCAGCACCAAAACCTTCAAGCACTCTGCATGTGCTCAGAAGCACTCTCTCACTAGGTTTCAGGACCATAAACATTCGAGGCTGGAAGGCATTTTCCAGAACTGACATCTCAGGAGTTAAAACACCAGGCACTCCCCTGTGAAGGAATGCTGGAGGCAAACAAAGGTTTCCTGTGCAGGGCTGGATTTCATCCCGTCCAGCCTTTGCTCAGACCCACGACCGTCCCCAGACCTAGGCAACGTGCCCAGTGAGCCGGCTGGGGGGGGGGGTGGAGGGGGCAGCGGAAAAACACCACCCGTGCAAACAGGTTGCTACCAGGAGCAGGGCGAACTGCCACGGACCAGAAGGACGCCAGCACCTCTGAACATGAGCAGAGCGCGCTTCTTGCGGCCGCCCTCAAACTTTTCCCACCCGCTCAGGGCCCCCTCCGCACGCCGCGGAGCAGCGGCCCCCGTGCCCAGCCCAGGCCCCTTGCGGGGAGGAAGGGTCGGGGAGGCGGACTCGGGGGGGAGTGGAGAGGAGGCGGAAGGGAGGTGCGGCAGAGGGACCCGGGCACGGTTCCGCAGGGCGGCTCTCCGCCCGGAAAAGCCGGGCAGGGCTGCCGGCGGGGAGCCCGCTGCGGGGACGGAGGAGGGCGGCTTCTCCGCGGCGCCTCCCGGCGTTTCTCCCGAGGAGCGTCGTGGAGAGGGCGCGGAGCCGCCGCGGGGGCGAAGCCGGAGCAGCAGCGGAGGAGCGGGAGCAGGAGCCGCGCCAAGGAGCGCGGGGGGGGGGGGGGGGGGGGGCCGGGGGAGCGGGCCGGGCCGCCCCCCGCGCTGGCTTACCGCGGAACTGCAGCGCGCCGGCCAGGCGCACGGAGACGGTGCCGGCCAGCGGCTCGCCGGGGCGGAAGACGACGCGGCCGTCGGCCAGGCGGACCTCGAAGAGCTGCACCTTCCCCATGGCTGCGGCGCCGGGGCGCGCGGGGCTCCGCCTTCCGCCGCCTTCCGCCGCGCGTGGGAGCGCCGCCCGGGCCGCGCGCGCCTCGAGTGCCGGAGCGCCGCCGCGCCGCGCGCCCTACCTGCCGGCTGCGCGGCCTCCCCCGCCCCGCCCCGCCCCGCCCGGCCCATCCTCCCCGGCCGGCGCTTCCGTGGTGGCGGCTCTCCGGGGCTCCCTGCGCAGCCCGGCTCGTGCCCGCCCCGCGGAGGGGCAGGGCTGCGCCCCCGATCCTCTGCCAGCAATGGAAGGCCCTCCCCCGTGTGCACACGGCTGCGTTTACCCCTCGGGGCAGGGCCGTCTGGACGCACGGGCCCGTGGGCCCCGTCCTGATCTGTGCGTGTTAACCCTTGGAAAATGGGAAAACTTCCAGAACCGACAGTCGGTGCCGTGGGGGCCCCAGCGCGCTGCTTCTCCAGGGCCCATCACTGCTGGTAAGACGGCCCTGCCCCGGGGTGCCCTTTTCAAGTTCCATGAAAGATTCCTGAGCTCGTGGCCCTGGAGAGGGCGAAGCATCCGAAAGATCTGCATTTCCTTTCAGGTCTGGAATGGTTTACCGAGGGCTTCGTGGCCACAACGCTTCTGCTGAGCAAGGGACCCTGAGACACAGAAACACAGAAACAGAGTGAGTCAGAAGGGGCCTCCCGGGCCATCTAGTCTGACCTCCAGCTCCAGCCGGCTTCACTCACGACATGCCCACCATGTGCATGTGACTTTCCGGAGGAGCTTGGCCACTGAGGGAAACAAGCTATAGAATGAGGCAGGTATATTTAGTTTCGCCTCTGCAGCAAGAAAGACCAGAAGGAAAGAACGAGATGTAATTGTTGTCAACTTTTGAAGCTCGACTTCAGTGAAAGGTTTTTTATTTTTAAAAATCTTATATTCCACTGCGATTAATCAGCGCAGTAGCCGGGGTCCTTGCACAAAGCCAGTGAGAGAACGCTGCGGCTTGCAGATGGAGCCAGATGGAAACCTGCATTCGTTGGAGCCGGCCGTGGAAATGTTAACCAGAAGCTTATGCTATGGATCAGTTGCACTGCTGGCTGTGCCGGGTGGTTGCCAAAATTACAAATGACCTGGAATGAGCAGAGATGGCCAACTCCATCAAAATTCGAGAGGATTTAGGGAGCCCAGGGCACTAGATGGAATAGATTCGGCTGGGAAGTTGCCCTCTTGTTGTCTGGCTATTTCAGACTGACAGATGCTTACCTGCGAGAACAGCGCTGGGGGTTCTTCTCTTGCCACATGGCTTACCGGTAGCTTGGCCTGACCCAGACAGAGGGTCTGGATGACATGACAGCGCACTGTGGGCCAAGCAAACCCACCTACCAGCCGTGGGTTCTCAGGATGGCTTGTACGGCCCACATAAGCCACCCCGGCACAGTCATCCCAGGTTCGTGCCACATGAGCATGTGAACCCCGGCGCTTCAGTTCGGTCCAGATCGGGCACCCTGCACCTCTTTGCATTGGGAGAGGAAGACGGCCGTTCACAGCCAGGCCTCCTGGGCACTCCAGGGCAAGATAAGAAGCCAGCCTGCAACGGGGGTTAGAAGCGATTACTCAAGTGCCGTCATGGAATGATAACTCTTGCAATGCTTTCAGACACATTTTCAGAAGCCTCGAGGGAGATCTGCTGAGCTGTGAGGAGAAGGGAGAAAACAAGTTTGCTCCCACCAGAGGGTGATCCAGGAGGGTGGCAGATTCGTCTTCTCTTCGTCTGAGTCCTGTTAAGCCACAGCTCATTCTCTGAGCACGTATTGCAATCTTCCCCAACTTCATGCCCTCCAGGTGCGTCTGATGACAGCTCTTATCATCCCTGAGAGCTGGTCATGCTGGCTGGGGCTTCTGGAAGTTGTAGTCCAAAACAACCAGAGGCCAGCAAATCAGGAAAAAAGCTCATTAGCATGGCGGCGTTAAGCTGGTTAATTAGCTGAATGAAGGGTTTGAGAATATGTTCCTCAAGTAGAAGGGTTGTCCCTAAACTTGAAGGACCAGTTGTTGTTTCAAGCAGAATAATGTATAATGACTGCAATGCTTTTTTTAATGTAGACAGGAAGGAATGGCTCTTTTAAGATTTTAAGCTGTGACAGATCTGTGGATCACCCCTAAGCTGTTGATGCCATCTTTGAGGCAACATTGACTCACGCACATGAGGGAAATCCTAAGAACCTGGTGTGCTCAGGGGCCTTGGAATCGTATTTGTCACCCCGATCCTGCCCATTTCTTTCTGAGGGGTGTTCAATGAAGGTGACATCGGCACATATCCAAAATCTTTTCAAGACCTGAGCTGACAGATCAGATCAGAGCTTCTCCCCTTCACTGCCAAGGGGCTGGCTCTCCGCATTGTGTGATGCTTGGTTCGTCTTGCAAAATAAATACTTAAAATGAAAACCCACTTTGGGGCTTGCCAGCGGAGGATTTCTGAACCTTTTTCATGGTTACTTAGCTATTTATTCATCACATTTCTGTACCGCCCGATAGCTGAAGCACTTTGGGCTGTTCATGTGATTTAGAAACATAGAAACAGAGCGAGTCCGAAGGGATATCCGGGGCCATCTAGTCTGACCCCTGGCTCTAGCCGACTCCACTCACGACATGCCTACCATGTGCATTTAAAACCATGAAATACAGCACAGTGAAATAAAATATTAAAAAATGAAAGTGTAAAGCTGCAGTAGAACAGCAAAATGAAAAAAAAATTAAAAATAAAAGCGAGCTGGAAATGTCAAGCGTTAACAGTTAACAGATTTAAAACAACAGAAACCAAAAGACGGCAGCATCTGGGAAAAGGAGGTCTTCACCAAAAGACTACCAGGAGGGTCTCAGTTCTACCCAGCCAGTGCCGCCATCTGCAATCAGCCACCCAACCGGGACCAGCACAATGCAGGGCATCCAGGGACTGGGCCAGGCGGCCCGGGCAGAGATGGCACAGAAGGTTGCCAAGAAGCCCCTGGAGTTGTGTTCCCCTTGCCCCGTCCCTCTTTCACAAGACAGTCTTCCAAAAGTGATGAGTCAAAAAGCTGAAGAGGTAGCCCTGAATCCACTGTAACCCGTGATTATGAAGGCGGTGCAGGCCGCTCTGCCCATTTCATAGGTGGGAAGGTGGAGGCATGCAATCCCCATCCAGCCCAGTGACTCAGTGCTCTGAACAGCACCTCTTGGTGTCGGGTCACATGAGCCACTCACAGCATTGGATTCCGCTGAGGATGCCAGGAAATCGCCCTCGTGATTCAACAGGTGAGCTCTACTTTGCAGGTAAGTTACGGTTTGCCTTGTGGGCAACTCTTTTTAATGGCAGGCAGAGAATCCCGCTTTTGCGTGGTCACGGAAGGCCCGTTGAGGCTCACGCGAGGGCCACGAACTCTGCCTCGCTGTGTGTACCTGGGGGCCACCGAGCCACAACCTGGGCACTGCCTTTGAACGGAACTGCGCGCCTCTCTCACGTGTGTCAGTGGCAGGCAATGGGCCACGCAAGAAGGGACTTCCAAGGGCTGGCCTGTGCTGGGAAGTCCTGCTTCCTTCGTAATCCCCGGGGTGGACTTTGGCTACTTCATGGAAAACCCGTTGTTCTCAGAGAAACCTGCACTCTGGACGAAGACACGAGCTATCTGGCTAGTGAAGAAGTGGAGTTCCAGCATGGCCTGATCCCCAGGCCCTGTTTCACAATACTCCCTTCCGTTTTCCTTCCCATATGGGTTTACCCCCAGCCCTTAAAACCTGAGCACACCGATTTCTCATTGGGCTGCTTTGCAAGGCAGGGGTCTCTCCTCTCCTCTCCTCCTCTTCCCTCCCCTCCCCTCTTGTGCAAAATGTCTCTTTCCTTCAGATTTAATGATTCTGCTTTTTTCTGCATGGGCAGTGCCATCTTGGCTAAATAAGTGTTGGTGCTTGGGCCCAAAGTCAAAAAACAGATACGAACGCAAGACACAGCAGAGGGTAATTGCCATAAGCATGTCTTTCCCCTTTTCCTTTTCCAGAAGAGCAAGGCTAAAGGCTTCTAAATTACAGTCCTTTCTTGAGCTGGGTTAGCCAGTCAAGGCCTGGCATTGCAATGCAGCCTGAAGTTGTAACTGTGTTCAGTCAAAATAGAGAACTCTCTGATTGGTGGAATTTGCTCTTGCCCCTGTGAGTTGATTCCAGATTGAATCCCCTTCTTCCCTTCTTCTCCAAAATGGACTGGTTCCTCCCTCAGGGAGGTTCACACTACCTTGTTACTTGAGGGTCAGATGCTGAGAATGCCAGACGTTACTTAATTGGCCTTCTCCTCTGACTTGACAAGAAACCACTTTGATGAGGGACTCACACTGTCCCCTTCGGTTCCGCAATGATCTCCTTGTTGAACCAGAGGTGTTTAGCCAATCGCCCTCATCAACCTTGGCCTTCCAGCCACGTCTTCCAAACCAAGCCAGCGCTTTCCCTAGGAGCAGAAATGGCAAAACTGAAGCTGTCATACTCCCTGGAGAAGACCATTGTGCTAGGGAATATCGAAGGCTGAAGAAGGGGGGAACCAGATAAGAGATGGATGGACTCTGTCAAGGAAGCCACAGCCTTGGACTTAGAAGAGCTGAGCAGGGCTGTTGTGGAGAGAACAGAGAGGACTTGACGGCACAGAACACCACCCTCAGGGCTGGAGCTCTCTAGCTTGGGATGCCGTATTTTGAGCCTGCAGGCATGGGCACAATGCCATTTCTCACCAATCATGGAAGATGTGTGCAATATCTCTGAGTTCTCACACCTGTCCATTTCGTGTCACATGCGGTGCAGGTGCATTGGCAGCTGTCACAAGAACATCTGTCAAAACAGGAATCTGGTGTTAAGGTTTCCTCTGAATAATGATGTCACTAAATACATGAAGGAGCGCCTCTTCCCGTACATGCCCTCACGCCCCTTATGACCTGTGGGAGAGGCTCTGCTCCGGGAGCCCTCCTTAAAGGAGATAAAAAGAACAACTTCCCGGAGCAGGGCCTTCTCTGCGGTGGCGCCCAGATTATGGAATGCGCTCCCTGGAGAGGTGCGCCTGGTGCCGAGTTTATATTCTTTTCGGTGCCAGGTTAAAACCTTTTTATTTAATTGCTATTTTAAAAACTAATATTTTATCATGATTTTTTTTCGATTTATATCCTGCCTTTTTCCTACAAAGGGCTCAAGGCAGCTTACATCATTCTCCTCCTCCACCTTATCCCCACAACAACAACCCTGTGAGGAAGGTTGGGCTGAAAGTCTGTGACTGGCCCAAAGTCACCCAGTTGGCTCCATGGCTGAGCGGGGACCAGAACCCGGATCGCCTGAGTCCCAGTCCCATGCTCTTAACCACTACACCACACTGGCTCTAACAGTCGCTTTTAACAGTCGCTTTTTTGTTTTATATAATTTTATGGAATTTGTTATTGTTTTATTGTTTTGAATTGCACGTGCTGTGAGCCAACCTGAGATGCCGAGGCATGCTGTGATGGCATATAGAAGTTTTAAAGAAAGAAATAAAAATAAATAAATAAGCCACGCAGAACCTGGGGAACAAGACTTGCAAGTTTGCCATCACTGCAGAACCTTCAAAAGTCCGCTCTTCTCCTTTTCTGTCTCCCAGGTTCTGCTATCAGAATCTGCATTTCCCCTTTTTTGTTTCAAGCATCCAAAACCACAAACAGCCTCTGCTAAAAGGCTCTCTGTTGTCAAAGCACAGCTGGCAAGTTACAGCAACAGGAAAACTAGTCTCTGTGCATGGACAGACTGGTCAGTTGACCCCAAACTAGAAAATATTTCTGACCAGCCTCCTTTTCAGTAGAGCTGGACTCCACCCATCTAGGTGGGTTCCTCTTTAGAAGCACCCACCTCCAAGATCTGTGCAAGACCTCTAGCTGGGTGGCTCTTCCATCCCAGTCTTGTGTCGTGGGGTCCAGGACCAGTCAGGACTTGGGCTTGTCCTCCACCTCTCTCTCCTCTCCCAAGCCCTGCCTGTTCCTGTGGTCTGTCCGGGAATCTGGGATCGGGGCCTTGAGACAGCCTGTCCTTGATTCTCCATCTCCTGGTCTTCACCAGCCTCACCTGAAGAGTCAGTGCAACCTGACCTTGGAAAGCCACCAAGAGCAACTGCCCCATCCACCCCCAGCATCTGCGGACTCCTCTCCTTCCTCCCCTCCGGCTGCTCTCACCCTCCTTGACGGTCTCCACTGGTCCTCCAAGCCGTTTCCTCCTCTTGTTCCACCCCGAAGCTGAGTGATGCGGCCACCTCGGGCGGCGAAGTGGGGTGCCGTGGCCTGGCAGCGGCCCAGGTGGCTCCTCCAAAGCTCTTCTCCCAGCATTCCTTGGGAGATGAAGTCCTGGACACTGCCTGGTCTCTCCAGAGGCCCTAGGTGGGCTCGCTGCCCTCCGAGGCAGTGGGGAAAGATGCTCCAACACTGAAAGAGCATTCAAGCAGCGCTTCCGCGTGGGGTGAGGGCGCCCCTTGTGCTTGGCTCAGGCATTGCAAGGACCTGGGCGGGCCGGTCCTGCTTCTGCCAGCCCAGCTGCAGCTGCAGAATTCGCGTCTCACTTCCTTTGCCCTCACATGGTCCCAAGTCCAAGGCTCTTAAGAGTGGGTTATTTAGGACTAATTATTTTCGGTAAAAACAGGAAGGCCGAGAGGAATTGCAGCCATGTTCAGCTTCGGCCCCTCAAGTGCTTTTGGACTCCAACTCCCACTTTTCTCAGCCAGCACAGGAAAAGCTCAGGGATGATGGGAATCCACCAAGCAAGGGTGGACAACGCTTGGTGGCCCTGGGGTGCGAGTGACTGGGGAAAGGTCTGAAACTAGATGTTTAAACCGCGTTTCCTAACCCAACCTTCCCCATTGTGGAGCCCTCCAGATGCTGGGGTTTCAACTCCTATCATCCCTAGCCAGCATGTGCTATCCCAGCTGTGGATAATGGGGGTCTTAGTTCAACACACTTGGGACTGAACTTTGCAGAACGCTAACAGAGGCATTCAGCCGAAGATGGCGGCACTTCTCTCTCCTGCCCATCTTCTGCTTGTAACCCACCAAACGACACCTTTCCAGGGCCGTCTCTACCCTTGGGCGAGGCAGCTGCTTCAGGCAGCAGACACTGGGGGCAGCCCTGATGTTGGAGGAGAGCCGGGTGCCTCGTGGCCTTCCTTTTCACCCCCTCAAATATCCTGCTGCCTTCAGGTGTGGCGGATGCTGAAACGGGATTTCTTACGCTTTGGGGGCATCAACGTTTGAGGGTTTCCTGCCTACGACCCCCAGGGCGATTTCATGGAAGGCAAGGCTGCGCTGCCCCCATCTGGTGGCAAGAGGCGGTATCACCACAGCTGCATTCAACATTTGAGACTCGGGACTTGGGAAGGTATGCAATCCAGAGCTTTACCAAGACTGCTTTCTCCTCCACTTTCTTTGCAGCCCTTCTCATGCTCTCTGGGGCATTTTGCCCTCTGCCTTGACATTCCAGGGATGGTTCGTTGCACCGCCATAAGATGGTGCTGTGGTCCACAGCGCAATTGCAAAATACAGCTGCGCTTGCAAGAACCACAGCGGCACCCAGGAAAATACGCCTTTCCCCACAAGACGAACTTTAGGCACTTGTGATCCCCCATTCAGAGAACTTGGCAGATTTTTTCATCTTTCTCTTCCTCCTCTAGATAATGGCATTATCTAGCCATTTCGTGGCTTTTCTGTTTTAAGAGCAAGGTAAGTCAGCTACATAGGAATGTACAGAAAGGCCAAGAGCAAAACTTGTCCAGGGCGTGACCGTTTCCTCCTGCAAAGAAAACAGAAGGCACCTTGCTGGTGCCTCATGCCGAGGCACTCTACCTGGCTTTCTAAAAAATGCTGTGAAAACGTCTGGAAAATACAGGAGTCTGTGAAAAAACCTGCAAATGTTTGCAAGTAAAAGATCCCACCTGCACAGTGAATGCTTGGGGTGAAGAAGTTCCTAATTTGCAATATGCCCCAATAGCCCAGCTGAGAATTCTGTTTTTTAAAGATCACTTGCAGGAACAGCCCTTGAGATAAAGCACGGCTACAGGTATTCCGTTTCCCAATGATTAAACTGGAATTCTGTATCCCCAGCTGTCCAAATTCTGAAAATTGGCAGCCTTTTAAAACTCTGGCTTTGCGAGAAATACCCCAGGCTCAGCTCCCGGCAGAACTTTTGCCACTGTTGTTCCACTGGCTCACAAAAGGCGGATTTCCCTGCTCCGTGGCGATGGCTGAAAAGGTGGTTTTTGGTGAAGGCGGGCTGCCATTTATGACTCTTGTGAATGTTTCACAAGTCCCTGACATTCCTGTGTGTATATACGGCCTCCCAGAAACCCAGGGCTAAGACCCACTGAGCCAAATATGCAGAGTTTTGCAGCTGATCTACAGAGGCGTTAAAAGTCTATGCATCTTTCAAGGGCTCGGTCTCCTAAGGACACCATGTTTGCAAGACCCATGGGCAGGGGAGAGGCAGGCATCTGGTTTTCGTGAAAACTCGCAGGCAGGAAGAGCCCGGGAGGAGGAAGCAAGAGGGGAAGCCCATGTGGCCTAAAGCCACCTCGTCCCAGGGGATCTGATGGCCCATCAAGAGGGGAAACGGAGAGCAGCCAGTGGCGGGAGAGGGGGAAATGGGGTGGAAAGAAGGCAGGCTGGGAGAAAACGGGGCGGGGGGCACAGTTGGCACGTTGACCCCTGTGGATTATGGCTGCAGCACGTGCAACTTGCAACACACAAACAGAGGAAGGAAAGCAAAAGTGAGATTTCCATGGCTGCTTCTGCTTTTTTGTATTCAGTCGGACAGGAAGTGCGAGCAGTGGGTGGGGCAGAATGAAGAACAAACGTCAGGAAAATTCCAATATGGGTAGTTAAAACACACGCACGCACACACACAGGGATGGAGAGATCGAGGACGAGATGAGCGGCTTTTCTTGGGTGCCTGAAATAATTTTGGGTTCTCTCAATAACCCTATTCATTGACTCCCAGTTTCTTCACAGAAGTGCAATCTTCCCCAAGCATCCAGATTCCTTGGATTGCAATTCCCGGCATTCCTGCCCCCAACCAGGCTGGTTGGGGCCAATGGGAGTTGAAGCCCAAAGCATTTGGGTCTCCAGAAGTTGTTGAATTCCGAATGCCGTTAGCCTAGCCTATTCCCCATAGTTAAACCCTGGCTGCCCTTTAGAAGGCCAGATACCGAAGATGAAACTCAAATACTTTGGCCACCTAATGAGAAGGAAGGACTCCCTGCAGAAGACCCTGATGCTGGGAACAATTGATGGCAAAAGAAGGGGATGGCAGAGGATGAGGGGGCTGGATGAGGTCACTGAAGCAGTCGGCGTGCGCTTAGGTGGACTCCAGGGGATGGTGGAGGACAGGAAGGCCTGCAGGAATGTTGTCCATGGGGTCGCGATGGGTCGGACGCGACTTCACGACTAACAACAATTCTCCATAGTGGCTGGCAGCAATGGGAGATTCAGTCAAACATCACCTTGAAATCTGGTGCTGGGGAAAGGTGGCGGAAGGGGCAGGGGCCCAAAGATTCGTTTGTGGTTTCGTGCAGACAGAAATGAACTCGGTTTAATCCACTTGGCCAGCACAGAGCCAAGACCCTGAGTTTTGTTTCCTTACAATCACAGGTGTGTCTGTGCGTGTGTGTGTGAGGGTGTTAATCCTGAAGCAGAATCTCTGCAGCTTTTATTCAACTTCCTACTCACCCTCAGCCACAGTGTAAAGTCTATTTGAAAAAATAAACCACATTTCTATAAACCCCACTTTAGGACCCTTGCTTGGAAAAGCAACCCCGGACTTCATGCTACCCTGCTAGGAAAGGTAGTTTGCACTCCTAAAAATGCGGAAAGGTGGCCTTCCATCAACAGGAGACTAGGCTAGAAAGGAGGCGCCTGCGTTTGTCGGATTTTACTAACTGGCAGGGAACACGTTTTAAGAACTGCAGAGCGGTTAGTCTGTGAGCACAGCCCTCTGTAGTCGCGTTTCGTCCGAGTACTCCACGGGCTCCTCTCCCGTTTCGCCGAGCAGGACGGTTCTCACAATGGCCTCCGTGACCGCGTACGGGTCGCAGTTGGCCGAGGGCCGGCGGTCTTCGAAGTAGCCGCAGCCGTCCTGGCCAACCTGGCGGGGGATTCGGATGCTGGCCCCGCGGTTGGCGACGCCAGCGGAGAACTCGAAGATGTTGGAGGTCTCGTGCTGGCCCGTCAGCCTTCGGGAGTTGTCCTGCCCTCCACGGGGGTCGTACATGCGGATGTGGTACTGGTGTCGCTTGCTCAGCTTTTCTATAGCCGCTTCAATGAACCTGGCAGGGAACAGGCCGGGCATCAGGAGGAGCGTCATGTGCGCATGCTTGGACGAGGGTCCCAGGCGGCACGAGGGATGGAGGGCTTTGGTGGGAACGGCGGCTCGGATTTGGGGAGTGGAGAGCTGACCCAGCCGTGGCTCAGAGGCCTCACTCTGATTTGGGAGTGGTTGGAACTAGTGAGACCCAGGTGCTTAGCTTCTCCCGGTGAGCCGGCCCGAGTTGGCTCTGGATCAAAGCACTCTGGGGAGAACCACCGAGCCCCCTCCCCACTCCTGACGGTGGGAAAGGAGCCGGCAGAGAACAGGCTGGGGAGGGGTTCTCGGGAGAGCTTGACACCCCAGCAGATGTGGACGTGCAGGCCCCTCCACACACCCACCGACTGGACCTACGAGGGGCTCGATGGGAAGAGCGTCGGGGTGCCCGCTTCCGTAGCGCGCTCCCCTCCAGAGACCAGCCCCAAAGGGTTCATACGCAGAGCTTTGGGTGAATAGGGTCAGAGCGAGGCATACACAAGTTTTAAACAAACCAACTTTCCGCCTGGAGCGTGTGTTTCAGGGCTTGTGAACGCATTGCCGCTGTATGGAATAAAGACTCTCTCACTAACTGTGCCTGTCTCGTTTGGGAGGGGGCGCCGAGCTCACGAGAAGAGGAGGAGTGGAAGATGGCACCCGAGGGAAGGGCAAGCTGGGTGTCATGGTTTGGATGCCACAAGGAGAAGCGCCCCCACCTGAAGCAGTGTGGAGAAAGGCCTGTTGCTTCGAAAGGAGTTAAACGCTTCCCTAGCGCAGTTTTGCGACAGATGGAAATGGGACCCTGCCAGCCTCACACTTTTGAGATGGAAATGGGGTCCTCACAACCTCACACTCTACAGCTGAGGCTGCGCCACCCTTGAACAAGGGAGAAAAGCACCAGCAGCTTCCGGGGACCCCAAGGTTTGCAGAAGTGGAAAGAACTGGAAGGTGGGGGATAAAAAAGGGAACCTCCAAACTAGCCCAGAGAGGACTTGGAGAGCATGAGGGAGGAATGGAAAATGGGAGAGGGTGAGGAATAGGATAGCTGAGTCCCTGAATAGGGAGTGCTGCGCGCTGCAACGTACTAAGAAATACGTGCGTTTAATAAGGAAGTAGGTTGGCTTGGCCCTATAGAGCCGGTGCCATTAAAATCCTGTTCCAGCCTAGACTGGGATCGGCAACAGGGTGCCTCGCCGTCCCTTACCACTGGCTGGGGATGATGGGGCCAGGAATATGGGATCGTATAGATGCCAACTATGTCAATAAATAGATACAAACCAGCCTCAAAAGGAGAAGCAGACGTGGCTACACTGGAAGCAGCGCTGGGAGAGGCTGCGAAGCTCCAGCTTAAAGGTGAAGCTCCGCCTGGAGGAGAAACCCACTCACGTGATTCCGCCTTTCTGCCTCGTCTCCTTGGTGCTGACGTTGGTGTGGCACCCTGCCCCGTTCCAGTTGCCCATCATCGGCTTGGGGTCCAGGCTGGCCACCACCCCAAAATCTTCACAGACACGGTGCAAAATGTATCTAGCCATCCAGAGGTGGTCGCCCATCTCAATTCCTTCGCACGGCCCTATCTGGAACTCCCACTGCAGGGAGAGATCGAGGGAAGAGGCGAGATGTTTTGTCGGAGCACCTGCTTCAGGTTGTGTTTTTAAAAAAACAAACCAGTTCCTGGATCACAGGGGTGCAGAGATACCCCTGGACATCTGGCAGGGCAAAATGTGCTGCAATCTCGCAGGGAAGACGGGACCCAGTCTAATTCCAGGTGAGCCCGTTTGTCCACCTGGGCAAGCATGACCTGGCCTGAGCGCTCCGTCATCTCAGGTGGCCCGACCCTTTTAACGAGATGGCATGCCATTTCTCCATGTCCTCCTCAAGCGATTTTTAAAACTTTTAAAAACATTTTAAATAAAGACTTTGAAAGACGTTGTTTAAAACTCTGCGTTTGCAAATGAATCACGTTAAAGCTACCGGGCCAATGGAGAGTTGCATGGAGTCATTAAATGAGAAGAGGACTGGGGGGCGGCAGACAGATTTTTGGCCTCCTGGCACGCTGAGCTTTTCTGCATTTCCCCAAGCTGTACACCCGAGCAGCGCCACCCTCGCCTTCTCCCACCCTCTGCTGTTGAAGGAATTCCCAAGGGAGCTGTAGGAAGCGGCTTTTCCCTCTGGGAATACCTGAGAAGGCATGACCTCGGCGTTCGTGCCACAGATCTCGACACCGGCGTAGATGCAGGCCTTGTAGTGGGCTTCCACGATGTCACGCCCATACACTTTGTTTGCCCCAACCCCACAATAATAGGGTCCTAGAAGGAAAGCCACAAAGCATACGGTCAGCACATTCGAAAGGGGGATCCGTTTCCCTTCAAGACCAAGAAAGTAAAAAGCAAGATGCATCGCTTCCCTTGGACTCCACGTGCAAGGTTCCCCCTTCCCACTACCAGACAGGTTCCCCACTGTGAGAATGAGGGAGGGAAATGTTTATCTAATTTATTTTTATTTTAGTTGTTATAATTATCTCATCTCTTTTCCTTCCACCTCCTCTGTCTTACTGCATGGATCGGTTGTACCCCTCTAGCTGGGCATGAGGGGTGAAAACCATATTTACAATCTTATTTTACTATGAAATTTATGTTTTGCTTTCTTGCTCTCCAAAGAAACCAAGTTAGCTTTCATCATTCTCCTCCTCTCCATTTTAACCTCAAAACAATCAATGAGTCTTGACGGGTCCAAAGTCACCGAGTGAGCTCCATCGTCGACCAAGACCGGGACCCAGATCTCCGGAGTCCCAGTCCAATATTCTTAAATTCCACAAAGCAGAGCGTTTTCTAGGATGGCGTTTCCAGTGATAGAAGGTTAATGGGTGGTCGCATTTGGGGTTTTATGTGGAGGGAGTTTCAGAGTAAGAAAAGACCTCTTCTGAGATGGAGACATTATCTTTTCGCTCCTCTCACACAAATCAAAAGGAACCCTCTTCCAGTGCATGCCCGACATTGGAAGGGCGAAGAGCCACCTCGACCGACGAACTGATTCTAAAAAAGATCTTGGACTGTGCAGAAATAGACAGACTGACTTTGTCATTGAAGGAGAAAGAAGATGCAGACTTCTATCAAACTTGGGACTTTATTACTGGCTAGAGAAACGGGGCTTTGCATACATTTAAATATGTTTATAATTTAACATAAAAAGAAAAAATGTGGGGGGCTGACCCAGTAGGTCTGATGTTTCCGATGATTGATGTTGTTCTAATTTTTTTTTGGTGTTAGGTTTATTTAGAATAAAACTTATTGAAAAAAACAAAATAGTGGTTGCTGAAAAAATCTACACGCGCTATGATTTTTTTTTTTTAAACCTTCTGCCTGTAGATAACGCTGTATGGAAACAGGAAAATCTCACTCAGTGGAACTCAGTGGATTTTCTACCTGCTTCTGATCCGATGGTAAGAAGTGGGTGAAATAATTTTCTTGTTCAAACTCCTGCCTCTAGAACGGATGGCAGTTCGCACATTTTTTTTTTATATTTGTGTGACTTCCGTGCAGTTTGCACCGGAGCCACGTGGATGTGGATTTGGGTTGTCATTTGTGCAAGTGTTACAAGACGCAATGCACCAGTGATGGTCTGAGTTAAGGGACAGTGATCCGCAGGCTGGTTCGACTCAGGTTGGCATCCGTGCAGAACTAACAAGAAAGTGACCGGTTAGGAAAACAACCCAGCATGTCATACATGTATGACAAAAAATGGAACTAGCATTTTGCCAGTTGAATACTTTTCTTTAAAAAATGCCCAAACATTTTTGCATATTTTAAAAAAATCCTGCATGCGGGATAAAACCCCAATAAGAAGAAAAACAAGCAGCAGCAGCAAAAAGCAAGTGCAGCCCAAACACTCTAGGAAAGCCATACTGGAAATATATATATATTTACATGCTCTGTTCCAAGCCAGAAGACTCCTATTTCTCTTTTCTCTTCATTTGCCTACAATGTTGGGTAGATTTATACTGCACAGCAACTGAGAAATCATAAAGAGAGTTTTTTTCCTCCTCCAAAACAGATTTTGACACACGAATCCCTTTCCTCCTTGTATGCTGGCATATATTACACCAGATGGTTTTTTTTAAAGGGAAGTGCGTTCTTTCAAAAACGAGAAAAGAAAACAAGAAGCTGGACTATCTGAGTCCTTCTCATGGATCCAGTACTCTGACTTGTTTCCCTGGTTTGGACTTGCCTGAGCCAAATCAGATGGGTCAGGACCATGGGCCTTCACAAGGCCTGGAAGGCATTTGCAGAAAATCCCCCCCGAAAACAAAACGAGAAGGTTTTCCAACCACACCGGTTCTTGAGAAGGAACTATTAAGCAATGCTGGCTGCGAGTGACATCAAGGAAACCGGCTGTATGACCTGCCCGGACTGCTAATAACTGGAGACAGCAGGAAGACGGATTTTTATTTATTTTTAAAGATGTGGAGAGAAATCTTGAGCAAGAGAGAAACCGTTCAAGTCTCTGGGTTTGCAGACTCGCTTCCTTCTCATTTACGGCATAATGATTAACACCCCAACCCTTTCTCCTGCTGGTTGCAAAGGAGGTGATACTTCTAAATAGCAGAACCAAAGACTCCCAGGAAATTCTTAGGAGAGGAATCGGCAATAAATTCGCCCATCTTGAAAGGCCTTCCTACAGATCTAAGGTACAACCACACCTTATGCATCTCGGAAAGAGAGACTGTAGGCTGGATCAAGGGGCTGAAGCAACCCCCTGATGGGGAAAAGCAACAAGATTTTAGGCTGGATAGCTCAGAAAAATGGCAAGAGAGGTGGGCTGGAGGACTGGACAGATGGCCAGAAAAGGATGCACACTGGGGAAAGGGAATTAATTCCCTTTAAGTGGGAAAGGGAATTAAAGAATCAGTGGGCACCCCATTAAGCTCTATGGTGGGAGCGTCAGGAAGGAAACGTGAAAAAAGGACTTTTCTGTCCGGTGCATTGGTTCCACAAGAGGAAGCACAAAAACGGAGTGAGAGCCCCCAGCTTGGATGGCTTTCGAAGGGGAGCAGACACACGTGTGGGAGAAAAGGAAGGGAGCCATGGTGTCTCGCCATTATGGCAGGACGCCGCCTGCAGTACCTGAGGCAGGATGCCTTCGCAGGGGAACGTGGGCGGAAGGGGGTGGCCGATTGGGCACGGGGGGAAGCGGCATGCTACATGCGAAAGGCCTCTGGTCTGAGCCCACGGGGCGCTTCGGTTCGTCCACCAGGTTGCCAGACCCAGGCCTAGCCGGACGACCGGCTGGCACCGATCTCCAAGCGGCTGGCTGGACTCTCGCCCTTACCTTGCGGGCCCGGGAAGCCGTTTTCGGGCCAACTGTAAGGGCGCCCATCCACCCCTAGCAGGGTGTACTCCTGCTCCATGCCGAACCAGGGGTGGCTGTCTTTCACCATCTCCATGACCTTCCTGCACGTGTTCCTCAGATTGGTCTCTGTGGGAAAGGAAGGATTCTGTCACCACCCTTTTGTCTATTTATTTTTTCAATTTATATCCTGCCTTTTTCCTACAAGGGGCTCAAGGCAGCTTACAGCATTCTCCTCCTCCATCTTATCCCCACAACAACAACCCTGTGAGGTGGGTTGGGCTCAGAGTCTGCGACTGGCCCAGAGTCGCCCAGTTGGCTCCATGGCTGAGCGGGGACTCGAACCCAGATCGCCTGAGTTCCAGCCCCATGCTCTTCACCACCACACCGCACTGGCTCTCTTTTCATTTTGGAGTCCAGAGGGAATGGAAATCCAAAGACCTTTCTGAAGCTGCCTTCTCTATCAGTCCCCCCAAAAAGGAGCAGGGGTGGGGGGAGAGCAGGAGATGCAGACACACCTGCGCGTTTGCGGTTGTATTTCAGCACCTCGCACAACACGAGCTTGTTAGGGTCGAGGCAAAAGGGGTCTCGGAACATCTTCACGGGAATCAGGAACATGTCGCTGTTGGAGCCCTCGGCTTGGCCTGTGCTGGACCCATCGAAGTTCCATTCGGGGAGATCTGCGGAAGGAACAGAGCAAGCAGTGACACGCGTGTTCCTGCAATTAATCAATCAGATGATTTTCGAGGAGGCCACGAGGTAGCAAGCACCAGCAATGGCTAACGATGCTTCCTGGCAGGGCATGTTAAAAGTTTAAAGTCTGCCGGATCCTTGCTGGTCTTTGGGGAAACATCATTACTATTATTATCGATTGCCTTTCTATACCTGCCAATAGCCAAAGCTATTGCAGTGCACTAGTTAATAAAATACAGGATAAAATAAAAATAATGGCTAAAATAGATGATGTTTCATGAAAATCTTCGCTTGATACCACTGTCATCAGAGAAATGTTTTGAGAGATGTAAGAGGGCCTTACCAGCATCCATTCCCAGGCTCTGGAACTCCCTAACATGGGAACTGGATTCCCCCTGCCTTTCTCCACTTTCTGTTGTCTTTCAGCTAGCAAGAAAAGGTATTATTAACTCAGCATTAACCGGGGGGGGGGGGGCAGCTTTGGTATATGAGACGTTTTGTTAACTGAGCAGGCTGTTTAAAAAAAAACCCTGTTAGGACACCCTGCCTTCTGCTTAATACTCTGTCCCTTTTCTTTCAGTGGGTCTACTCTAAGAAGGCCTAACATTGGGTCCAACCCACGAAACCCAGCGTAACATCTCTGAGGTTTCTGAACGGTCTTCAAGGGCAGCCCTAGATACAACACATCAGAGCCCCCAATCCTCTTCTCCAATACATCCTCACAACAGCCCTGTGAGGTAGGTGAGGCTGCGAGGAAGTGGCCCAGCTCTTCTTAGCCCCACTCGAACCATTACACCACACAGGCTCCCTGTGATCTTCGCGATGCCACCAAGCAGCAGCACACCCCGTCTGGAGGGGGCAGAAGAGGGGGAGTGATCGAAGCCACACCATCCAAAACCAAAGAGGCAACCGGGATTCTGACCTTCGATGCTCTTGGGTTCCTGGCTCAAGGTTCTGGTTTTACATCGCAGCCCTTCTCCACTGCCGTCGATCCAAACGTACGTGGCCAGCACCAGTTTCCCTTGGGGTAGCTTCATGTACTGGTCTCTGACTGCCTTGTTGAGCTTGGAACTGTGCGACACAGACATGGTGGCAAGCTGGGGAAGGAAGGAAGGAAGGAAGGAAGGAAGGAAGGAAGGAAGGAAGGAAGGAAGGACGGGAGAGGGTTTGAGGGGTCGTTCCAGAAGCACTCGAGCCCACGCTCCTGGGCTAGCGAATCCCTATCTGCAGCCAGCCCTCTTCTCTCCTCCCGCCGGAAGGTCCTTCTTTTGACCCCGACAAGATCTGCCAAGGATGCTTCCAACCCCTCGGAGAGCAAAGCCAGACTTTTCCACGGCAGCTGGGCTGGGGAGAGGCTGAACCGAACAGCTCCCCGTCTCCCAAAGGTGTAGCAGCATCTTAGGCTTCGGGAGGGGGCATGAGAAACCCCGAAGGCCCAAGGCCACCCACCACAGCATGGGACTCCGGCTGCCCCTCCAACACCTCACATCCGTTGCAGCCCTGCTCAGCTCAAGATGGTGACTTCTACGGAGCTGATCCCTCTCATAATTGGCCCTCCCCTCCTTCTGCCTACGACTTTCCCTTGCATGGTGGTCTCCTCCAGCTCGGGCCTCCGCATGGCGTGCCCAAAGGAAAACAGCCTCCGTTTCATCCTTTAAAGTGCTTGTTTTGCTATCTAAAGCCCTAAATGGCTTAGGACCAGCTACATGTCTGTCGGGTCCCATATAGACTAACCCCCCGCCATTAAGATCTGGGCAGAAGGGCCGTCTAAAAGAACTGCTCCTTAAGGAGGTAAAGGGGATGGCAAATAGAAGAAGGGCCTTCTCCGTGGCTGCCCCCAATTATGGAACAGGCTCCCCTAAGAGACCAGCCTGGCTCCACACTGGTTTTTGTTTCAGTGCCAGGCAAAGATGTCTCTCTTCTCGGAGTACTTCCAGGAACAGTCTTGAAATGTGCTATATTTTCTGACATTTGTTCTTCTGCTTCCTTGGTGTAATTGTGATACTCATTTTTTAAACTTTTTGATTGAGATTTTAACTGGTTTTATTTTTAGTATTTTACTGTAAGCTGCCTAGAAAATGCCTCTGGATTAGCGGGTGGCATAGAAATTTAAAAGTAATTAAATAAAAAAATATTTCCCAAATCTCTGGCTTGTCTGTCTTTATGTCAGTCTAGGATATTGCAATGCATATCTATTTAACTTCTGGGGCAATTCCCCTCCAATTTGCAAGCATGGCCCACCAGCAGATGGTTGCCTAGCTAGTTGTTTGGGTAACAAACAGAAACTTGGAAGGAAGAAAATATTTAGAGTTGACCCTAGACAGAATCAAGTGCCACACTAATTCTGGAACCTTTATTTCCCCATTATTTTAAGAGGTATGTTTTATTTTAGTCAGGTTTTTATTATAAATATTATGCTGTTCCTTTGATGTTGGACTGTCCTGAGACTTTTATGTATAGGATGGGGTACAAAGTTTTTAAATACATATATAATGTGAATTATGTTGCATGTGGAAGCACTCTTGCTGTTGCACTAGAAGTTGGGTGTTAGGACCTTTCCTTTAGCAGCAGCTTTGCATTGACTGCCACCCTTTTCAGTCAATTTTTGCTCCCAGAATCTCAAGGGCACCTGATCAAAATCCTTAAATAAGGTTTCCTTTGTATGCTCACAGAAAGGGCATTTTCGAGCCAGGAACCTGGTCTGGAGATCCGCTCCAAGTTTCTCGTTGCAGTGGCATTTAACGTTTAGAGTTTTAACACTGCTAGGTTTCTTGCTATATTTTAGATAGGTGTTGGTATAATTATTGATTTAATTTACCACCCACAGTGCACCACTTTCCAGAAAGGCCTACAAAAAAATTACAACTCTTTTTTTTAGTTTATTGACAGTTTTCTTTTTAAGCATGTTGTTATTTATATTTCTGATGCAGTGAAGTGCCTTATGGCCAGAATTTATGTATTTATGGCTGAGATCTGCCTTCTGGCAGAGGAAGAGCTCTGCCCAATTTTGGGGGTTCCCCACCTGGCCCACCTCATGGCTCACCCCATCATTCCACTCTGTGTGGCACCTGCAGCAGAAATTGCAGAAAACACCGTTCATCTGTATCCAAGCCTGCATTTCTATCTTGCCCAATTGCCAAAACTATCTGATAGATCAGAATTTTTATTTATTAAAAGGAAACCATTTGGGAAGCCCTGAGATGTTGTTGGGTTTTTTTTTTTTTGGCATGCTGGTACTCAAATGGTTCAACTTTCTTTCCTCATTAAACCTGAAGTGCACTTATTAAGATTTTTTTCTATTTTCCAGAGAATAAAGATGATTTGCTTTTACTATTCAGAGCATAATCATCTAGCTGCACTCCCTTCCACGTTTTAGCAAGTTCTGATACTGCAATGAGAGTCTGAATAACTTTTATGTCTGTTTGGCCATTCCATTCAACGGGATTTTATGGAAACCTTTTAATATAAATGTTGCATGCCTCAAATACAGACGTACAGCAAATCCAAATAAACATGTGTAAAATAAACATAAATGATGCAATTCGGTTCATGTTGTTCCGATGGAACTTGCAACAGAAACACTTGCAATAGAAATACTGCCCCAAGCTGCCCTTTCTTTCCTTCTGGTTTGAACCTGCAATTCGAAGGAAAAGTTCTGCCATATGCAAAGCAGAACTTCCCTTTGCCCCGAGCTGCTCGCCTCGGGATTTCCTTCCCCTAAAGCGACCACCACCCATTTCGGCCTTCGGGGGCTGCAATTCCACGGAGAAACGGACGAGGACTCCCAGCACGCGAGCCTTTCCGTGCAAACGCGCGCAAACTCGCCCCCGTCCTGCCCACGCGTGCACGTGAAGCTCGAACGCAGGCAGGGCTGCTTCACACGACGGGGGGGACGAGAAGGACGTACCTTCGGTGGCGGGGGGGGGCGGGTCAGGGTCTCCCCCTCCCGAGGGCTGGAGCCCCCCATCCTTCCGCAGAGCCCCCAACTCCTGCCCGCCGCCAAGCGCAAGGGGTCCGCGCGTCCCCGCTCCCGCTGGATTCGGCCCCCCGGGCTCCACCGCCTCCCCGCCCCGTCCAGGCAGCCCATCTGGCAGGGGGGGTCCCGCGAGGAGAGGGGCGTCGGGCGCCTGCGGGCCGGAGCCCCGGGAGGGGGCGGCTGCTGCGCCGCCCGAGGCGAGGCGAGGCGAGGCGAGGCGAGGCTGCGCGCGGCGGGGCTCTCCGCGCCGGAGGCCGCGCCCCGACGGCGCCTCCCGCTCCCGCCCCGCGAAGGCCAGGCGGGCGCGCCCCGTGCGCTCCGCGCCCCGACGGGATGGGATGGGCTGCGCTGCGCTGCGCGGCCGGCTGCTCGCGAGGCGGCGCGCTTACCTTCTGCGCGGCCCGGGGCGATCCGCCTGCGCGCCGCTCCGGCTGCCCGTCTTATAGGCGCCCGGCGCGGCGCGGCGCTGCGCGGCGGTCCTGGGGGCGGAGGAGGGGGCGGGGCGGTCCTGGAGGGGCGGTCCTGGGGGCGGGGCGGCGGGGGAGGAGGCGGTCCTGGGGGCGGGGCGCCTGCGAGCGGGAGGATGCCTGGGAGAAGCGCGCTCCCGCCGACCGACGGGGCCCCCGCCTCCTTCGCAGCCCGGGAGGGCGGGGCTGAAACGGGCAGGCGCTTTGCACGTGCCCAGGGGCAAGAACCGGGAAGGGACAGACTCCTCGGGCGACTGCGGGGGTGACGTCACGCCCGCGCGGCCCCCCACCCCACCCCACCCCACCTCACCCAGGAGAGGCTGCGGGCTCCTGCTTCAGTGGGGCCTCTTATCCCGTGCAGCTTTTCTTCTGAGCTGCACGGGAGCTATCCCTGGTCCTGAACGCCACCTGCACATTTGCTCCAGTCAAGGAGTCCCCTAGACTCCCTTGCCCACAGCTGCGATTAAAGTTTGCAATGGAGGGCCGGCGGACGGGGGGGCGGGGGGGCTGCCTAGGTTAGCAGGGCCAAAGACAGCTGGCTGACAAGGGTTCCAGTATGTTGTACCTGCCACCATGCTGGCTGGGGCTGATGGGAACTGTAGCCCAAAACATTTGGAAAGTGCCAAGTCACAGAAGATGCAGAATTTCTAAGTGGGATCAGATGCTATTTGAGTTGTTGTTCTTGTTACTATTACATTGTGTTTCTATCCTGCCTTTTCTCCTCCTGTGAGGAGCCCAATGGTGCTTCCATAGCCTTCTTCCTCTCTCTTTTATCTTTGCAACAACAATCCTGTGAGGTAGGCAAGACTGAGAGGGATAGGATAAGATAAGATAGAGGGAAACAGATATGAATTATAATGGAAAATGCTGGAAATGTTGCCGGGTGGATGGGCCTTTCTATCATTTGTGGTGGACTTGTGAAATAACAAAAAAAATGGAAATTGATACGTGTAGAAATGCAGAAATGTTCAAAATTAAGTTTCTCACGAGTCCCAAGAATATGCTTTTGAATGCAGTGCATTTTGAATATATACCTGAATACTGAGATCCTTTCAAAAAATGTCAGTTATTTAAGCATATGACAACAGCAGGAATCACAACTGCTTTTACATGGAAATCATCAGAGCCCCTGACAACTGAAAAATGGAGAAAAGAGTAGAAAAATATGGTGTGATGGCAAAGTTGACTAACTATGTAAACAGAAGACAGAAGAATTCAATGACAAATGGAAAATTTATTATGCTCAGCATGACTAACGGGAGTTGAGGGGAGTTTGGAAAAGTAAAAAGCAGTAGAGGACTCGCAGTGATCAGAAGATCTGTACTTGCATGGATTAATGATTTCTGTTAAATGTTAAATTCTATTAAATGTTCTAGAGAATTGGAAGAAAGTCTTGGGGTATTGACTGTATAGGGTGTATTTGTTTAAAGTTCCCTTGGCAACTTTGTTCGCCTTGTTCAGTTTAGTTTGCTCTGTTTATTTTAGTTCTGTCTTTTATTCTCTTTTATGTATTTGTATATGTTAAGAAAATAAGGTGTGGGGGGGCGAGACTGGGAGGGAGCGACTGGCCCGATGTCACCCGGGAGCTTTGTGGCTAAGCTGTGTGGGTCCCAGAGGCCAGATCTCCCGGGTCCCCAGTCCAGCTTTCCAACCCCCAGACCATAATGGCCATATTGCAGTCGACACTTGATCAGTTGCGTGGCCTCCCAGTGCGGACACCCATCTGCATATGTCTGCCCACGCCTTTTGATCTGTGTCATATCCCTTCTCCACCTCCATCTTCCACTAGAGGAGTAACGGGTGCTGGTATGGTGCTTCCGGGTGGCTCCCCAGCCGTGGAATCCTGCCTTCTCCCTAATCACACAGGGATGCTCACCTGATGCTTACCTGGATGTCATTCCACCCCTTCCGTCTCCTCCCCAAACTTGCTTGAGTGCGTCTGGGTTCCCCCCGCGCCCGCTGATGCTTTTGTGCCGGCCTTAATACACCTGCACTCTCCCTTCTCTCGATAGCTCTAAGGCTGATCTGTCCCGAGCCTTCCCAGAGCCGTGACTTGGCCTAACAGGGCCTGATCTTGCAGATCTGGCGCATTACCAGGGAGCGAAGCTGGTTTGCCAATGGACGCCTCTCGGCAGCCAGCACCATCAAGCGTCACTCGCTCCCTGAGGCGTGGGTGCGCCGATCGGGGCCAAATTCAGATCGGGACAAGTTGATCTCCCTGTTGCACCACGGGCTGGTAAGCTGCACCCAAAAGGAGCCGGCCCGAAATGCAAGCGTCTTTGTGCTCCAAGTTCTTCCTGCCAGGAACAAGATCTGAGGCTGAAAGAACATGGGGGCAGGGAATCGCTTGGACCACCCGGTGAAGCCCTGGAGGGCTGGAAGGTGACCTGAGGCAGGCCAGATTGCCTCTTGGGCCCGAGGCTGAACACCCCTGCTAGAGAAGTTCTGCCAAGGTGTTAGGAAAGGTCCACCTCACCCACCTGTCAATGATTCTGGCCTTTCCTCTGTGCATTCCATTTCCACTTCCCAAAACCTGGATGTGTACATCATCCCCACCCACCCCCCCAAGTTGATGCATGAGACCCACAGACACCGTTATAGCCCGGTCTGGGTGCGTTCCTCTTACCTGTTCTCATGATGTCCGAAAGCAGTTCGTTTCCCGCTCGGTGAAGAGCAGCAAAGCAGTCGACCAGGAGTTTTAATCCACCACCCTCATGGTGCTAGCCAGGAAACCTACGGGGGAAAGAGGCACAGAGAGTGTGAAGGACACAGAAAGGAGGAGAGAAAGAGGAGGGGAGGCCCGCCATGATGTCATAAAGGGGTTGCTTTCTAGGACAGTTGGCCTCGGAATCTAGACGGCCGGGGAGAGCGTGAGGCCCTTGCCAGGAAGTAGAACTGAGCCACCAGGAAGCATGGCTTCAGTGGATGCCTTGATTTTATTTCTAAGCCTTAACTTTCTAGTTGAAGATCTCGGAATGGTGAACAACAGTTAACAGAAGAAAAGAAAAGACAATGTAAATGAAAAAACCTTAACGTTACTTGAAACATTTAAAAGCATAGCAGAGTGAATAAAACTGTTTCATACTGTGTTGCTGTTAGTCACAAAGTCGTGCCCAACCCATCGTGACCCCACGGGCAACATTCCTCCAGGCCTTCCTGTCCTCCACCGTCCCCCGGAGGCCACCCAAGCCCACACCCACTGCCCCAGTGACCCCATCCAGCCCTTCTCCTTTTGCCATCAATCATCCCCAGCATGAGGGTCTTCATACTGTACTTTTTTTAAAAGGCGGTGATTCCCCCCCCCCCCCACCACCACACGCATGCAGGTGTTAATTCTGAGCTGGTAAATGCCTCAGCAAAGCTTCGGCACCTACCCCGTGCTGAAGAGATAGCGAGGCTGGCGCCAGGAGGGACTTGGTGGAGAGATCATTCCATATTCTGGGGGCTACCGCAGAGAAGGCCCTCCTCCCAGTTGCCCTCAAGCAAGGCTCCGTTGGAGGAAGCACTTAGAGGAACGACTCAGAGGTTGACCATAGCGTCCAGAAACACTGGTTTCCCACCAAGTATTGTGGTCCCAAGCTGCGTCCTAAATAGACTTCTCCAGACCGGTGCTCTCCAGATGCTTTGGGCTCCCAGCCTTCTATTGGCCAGGTTGATGGGAGTTTATATTCTTTTCGGCGCCAGGTTAAAACCTTTTTATTTAGCTGTTATTTTAAAAACTAATTTAAATTCTAATGATTAACAGTTGCTTTTATTTAACTTTTTTAATTTGTATTTTGGGTTATTCGTTATTTATTGCTGTTTTATTGTGGTTGTTTTAAGGATTGTAAGCCGTCCTAATATGCCATGCATAAGGGACAGCATGCAAAAGTTTTAAATAAATAAAGTCCCAGACACCTGGAAGGGGACATTCAGCTCTGCATTCCTTTTACCACTGCATGTCAGTGGGGGCAGGGGGAACACAGCATGGAAGTCCCTACTGTAAGCCAGCGGACCCCACTAAACCTTGTGAGTTATTCTACCCTGTGCCCCTAATGCACCTTCTTGCCTTCTCAGGTGCAGCAGGAAACGTTGCCCCATCACCAGGGTTGGAGTGGAACTGTAAGACCCTAAGAAGCTCCAAGATGGATCAGGCCCAGGATCTACCTCGTCCAACGTTGGCCAACCAGCTTCCCGAATATCCAACACACAGGGTTTGAGTGTAATAGCATTCTTAGGGGGAAGATTGTTCCGTGTAGAGGACGCCCCCCTCCAAACAACCAGGGGGCACCTCAAAGGACCTTGAGGACCGAAGGACAGCTTCTTGACATTCCAAGTAACCCCCATCACTGGGGCCTCTGCTTGTCTATTTCAACCCTTTGCACTGCCTGGCAACCTTGCAAACACAGCAATAGGTGCCACCATTTCACAAAGCTCTTGCTAGACTGCTTTTGCTTGCACGTAGCCATGTTAAGCATCAGCGGGCTGAATGAGAAAATAAGTTTTCCACCACTCACTTGCACCAAGTCTCTCCACCTGGTGATCAAATACGCTGCTACGTTTGCATGCCTTCTCTGTGCATCCATGCAGAGGACTGGCATTCACATGCAATAAAAATATTTTCCCCAAAGAAGCATAATTTTTAAATGCCTTTGTGGGAGTTAAGAAAGTCCTTGAAGGGAAAGTAGGAAAGTATTTGTCCTGTCCAACGATCGCTCCCACACGTGAATTCTGCTCCTTGGTGCTCTCACCTGCCAAGCACAGCAAATATTGTTACTGAAAGGAGAGAACAGGTCTTGGCTTAAGGCACTGATTTCAAGGTCGCGTAAAGAAACATGATGGTGCAGCCAGAAGCGAAGTAGATGTATCTTGACGAAAGGTCGGGGAGATTAAATCTTGACAGATGCCCTTGTTCCAACGAGTTATTCTTTGTGAAAGGCCCGTTTTGTTGCGTGTCCTGTTTAGGAGAAAGAACGGGGGGCGGGGGGGTTGTGCGCACGTGCACATGTCCATG